ATCTAATTAGAAACTTGCCTGTACATCTCGTTCACTTTGCTGATCAACATTGTCCTCCAGAGTGTCGTCATGCGATGAATTTGTGGCGTACCACTCCTTCTCTTGTGTTTTTAGAGCCATCTGAATTCTTTCTCATAAATTTTTCTCCATTTTAAGAGCGGCCTAGTCCCATACATTTTCAGTGACTTCCATTAAATTTTTGGGCATTTTCAGCAACTGCTCGAGAGTAATCGGTGTATTATCTTTTGTGGTCACTCGTGGCCTAAACATTGCTATAGAATTCCTGTTTTCTTTTCTCAGAGATAGATCAAACATCTATTCCCACAACGAGCATCTATTCCAACTATATAGATTTCCATGCTCTCCGTCTTTCTCCCAATCAAGTTTCATGGAGAAGTCAAATTTATTCCTTTTGAAAACATTGAGGAAGATGTTTCGAAGGAGCTCGTAATCTAAAATGTACTGCTTTGATTGAAATATAAAACGAAGAATATATGTTTCTTACCGGGGGTAATCCCATAACTTAGCTGTTTGATATGCGTCAGATATAGTTCAAACTCTTTTGGAGACTTTTCCAAAAGTTCCGGCTCTTTGTCAGTTTTTTCCCGTCCTGTTGTTGCGTGATCGGTCATATTTTTCCTGAATCTCACTCTGGTTCAACGGTTTAGGTTTAGCTGAAACAACTTACCATGGCAAGTTACCAATGATCATCTCCACAAGCATATAAAAAAGGGACCAGAGGTCATCATGTCTGCCTTGTTCCTCACGGTCGTGTGCGTTAATGGAACAGTAGCGATTAGTTCCCCTGAAACCGTTAAAACATGAAAGTTTCCTGAAAAAGGGAGTTTCCTGAAAAAGCTGAAATATGTTTCGCTTTTGTAAAGATCTTCGGAAGCTTGAAGCGTTTTTGCAGTGGTGATGAACTGCTGTTATATTCCTAACTTGTCTCACACTGAACTTGAAGAATAGTCTATAGGGTGCATTGGGGGATGCTCCATTGCTAGCACTCGCTGGGATACGGATAATGCAGACTGCTTTACTGTCTTTCTCTGGAGAAAAAAAGGTAGGCCTGCAAGTTCTTAATATTCTGCGGCGCGCTACATTTTTACATTTAGAAGAAATACATGTAAGATCTAGCTTTCTACTGTTAGGTGCAAGAGAAAAAGAATACCAGAATGTTTGCTATTTTTCAAAATGAATAGAATACAAGGTTTTTGGGAACTTTGTGTGACTAATCTACTAAAGAATCTTTCACAAAATATCTGGATTATATGCTAATACAGTACCTTTTGAACGAGGAATTTGTTACAAGAAAAGTTTGAAAAAATTAAGGATATCTAATCAACAGTTTACTTTGGCGAGATACCCATTTTATTTATCTTTATCTTTTTTGTAGGCATCACTAGCTCAGAGTAATTATGGTT